GAGTTTGGCAGAGCTGCAGAGCCCAATCTGAGCCAGAGCATCCCTCCCTCGCCCAAAGTGGACCCCCTTAACTGAAGGAGAAGCATCAGAAAGGTGGATTTTAAAATACACCCACCAACAGACAAGACACTGTTTCTGTGCATTCTGCCAAGTCTCTCGAAGACAAATTGTTCCTTGCAGCAAGGATGGAAAAAAGGTCATTCATAAAAGAGTAATTGATGTCTGGCTGGTGACAGCCTTCCACGGGGCTGATGTGGCTGCCTCCTGCAAAGGGAGCAGGCAGCAGCCCATGGCCAGCTTCAAGGAGCTCCAAGGGCCTGGGAGATGATGAACCACCATTGGCCCTTCCACGTTTTGCATGCAAACTACATGTTGCCTTTCTCTTTTTTCCTCCAAATGTCTTCTAATGTAATTAGAAAGGTGCTCTTCCAAAAGTCTTTTGGCTGGGAAGGGAAAAAGCAGCCTATCATTTATTTATAATATTTTCTCAGAGCCACGTAATTGCTCTGCACTGGCTGGATAGAGGGGGTGCTTCCCAAGGGGCTGTGTCCCAGTATTCCCAGAGAAGAAATAACAGGAGAGCTGATGGTGAAGGTGAAGGACTGAGATGTGGGATGGAAAGGAAGATGAGAAAGAGGATGTTAATGTGCTGGGTTTTCTGGCCAGGCTGGGGTTTCTGTTGTAATTGCTAGAGCTGGGGAAGGGAGGAAGGGAGGAAGGGAGGAAGGGAGGAAGGGAGGAAGGGAGGAAGGGAGGAAGGAAGGAAGGAAGGAAGGAAGGAAGGAAGGAAGGAAGGAAGGAAGGAAGGAAGGAAGGAAGGAAGGAAGGAAGGAAGGAAGGAAGGAAGGACACAGGGGGAGAAGCCTGGGTGATGCTGCTGCCACATGGTTGTTCCCACTGCCCATGTTCATGGTGGGTCCTCTCAATTAAACTCTTACTGGAATTATGTTTTCACATTGCAGCTGGTGCTGTTTTTTCACCTGGTATAATTTTCTCTTTTTTTCTTGTCTCTTTTCTTCTTTCAGCCTGATTTTGGTGAAAATGTTGACCTTCTTCTGCTGTTTGTTTGGGGCAGAAGTTGTTGGAGGAAGTGCAAAATGCAGAGTCTGGTCCTAGTGAGGAGCAACCTGAAATGCCTGTGTAACCTCACCTCCTCCCCCATCCAATTTCTGCTGTACCTGCAGGGGTTGAACTGCCCACCTCAGCCAGCTTTGGGCTTGGTCACACAGTGCTTTGGTCCATGGCATCTTGCCCTGCATGCTGTTCCCCATCTTGTCACATCAGCATTTGATCAGACTTTCCTCTCCTCTAGGGTCCCGTTTCTCTTGTTATCCCATTTCAGCTCCTGGCAAGGCAGCAAGTGACCTCACCACCTATATGACCAGGCAGCTGCCAAAAAAATAAAAGAAGAGACTGGACATACATAATTTAAGGTCTTTCATAAGAGCTGCACCAGGGTTTTCCCCAGTGTCTGATGCAGACCCAGAAACAAGGCAGTGCCACAAGACTGGGGAAATGCCAGTGGCAGTTTTGTTCCTGGAGCACAGCCCCAAGGCAGGGCATTGTCCTGGCACCAGCAGAGAAACACAGCAGGCAGCAGATGGGCAAGAACCAGCAAAAGGCAGTTTATTGGCATGTTCACATTCATTTCCAGGATTTGAAGTGAAACATTTTCCTTTCTTGCTCCATATGGAGGGAGTTTTGGCTTTTTTTGAAAATACATACTTTTAAAGCAAGATTTCTTTTTTTTTTTTGTGAAGCAGAATTGGTAGCAGCAATGCTCTTCTTCCTTTCCTTAAGCTTGATTTTGTTAAGCATTCATGAAAGATTTAATATTTGTAGAGTGATGTCAGCTATGTCATACTATTAAAACACTCATAGAGAAGAAATAGGAACCAAAATGTGCTGCCATCGGTTGGGTAATTTTCCCCTGCTACAAAACTTTCTGTTGGAAGAGGGACAGATTCACACAAAAACTTGTAAGGGCGATAGTTTTTTACTTATTCTTCATCATTTACCATTCCAAGACTAAGCTGTGGATTCATATTTGGTGGGCCCATTTGGCATTCAAACACTTTATAGGCACTTTTTTCCTTCCTTTGTGTTTATTTTTTTTTTTATAATGCGAGCAAAATCCTTTAGTCCAGCTGTCACAACAGGCAAGCACTGTTTACATCAGGGTGGGGTTTTTTGGATCAGATTTGTTCAAATAAAGAGATGACACATCTAACTTGCAGCTCTGCAAGCCTAGGGAAGAAGGCAAAAGTCAAGCCACCTCCTTCAGTGTTGCTCTGATTGTTTAGACACTTCAGGGTCAGTCACTGGCCTTGATTATATTTCTGTCATCCTTTTGTCTAGCTGGGATGGTGCTGATTTAAGGAAGGCAGCTTGGCTGTGCAGCTGCCACCTTGCTAACAAAGTCAAGTCCAGCTCCTTTTCCAGAGCACGTTGTCTCTCCATCTCAGTTACTCACTTCTTAGTGGACTATTCATGTGGGTTTTCCCCTCTTTGAAACTGATAACAGAGTTTGAAATGCAGGGAACTGAATCCTGTGAGTAAGGAGGTGCTATTCCAGGGCATGGATTTTTTTTTTTTTTCCCCATAAGAGGAATTTGGGCAGAATAGGTTAACTCCTCTGCAGGAAGTTGAATGTTTTTTTGGTCAACCCCTTCAAATGGCCAGAGTGTAATTACAGGGCTTCTGAGGGAGAATCACACCATCTTATTTCTTTTAAATAACCAGCATAATAAGGGATATTAAAAGGAAGTGATGTTTAGCTCCAGCTTTAACTAAACGTCCTCAAAAGAGAGTATTAAATATGTCCTGATGGTGTTTTCAAATGGGTATTTTTCTCCCCCTGCTGTAACTGATGGTATTTTTCCTCTTCATCCTCAGGGGTTTTTCTGTTTTGCTCTGGCCTTCAGTGGATTGCTCCCAGCTGCCTGCTGGAGGTACACACACAGTACAGAGGTAAGCATCAGCTGCCAGGAAATACAACCAAAATCTTGTCAGATGGAGAATTTTGTAGCAGTGATTTCTCCCATAAAAGGGACATCTGGTGGCAATTAGGCCATCCATGACGAGGTCTGTCAGATGCCAGCTCTGTCGCATCCGTCCTTTGCAAGAACAGGGCTGCCTTCCTCAGCTGCCTCTGATGGGGTGGTCTGAAGGGAGGAGCCACAGAAACCCTCATGTAGAGCAAACTCTTTGTCCTGAAAAAAAAGGGGGGGGGGGGGGAAAAAGCAAGTCTCATTTTAAATAGCTTTAGGATTTTTTTTAATTTTTTTTTCCAGGGGATAGTTTTTTTGTTTTGTTTTAATTGAGATGCTTGACTTTTGAAAAGTCATTTCCAGCCAGCTCTTATTCCTTCTGATTGGGAGTCTCTATTTAAAGGCTATGCAGGTTGTGACTCTTCACGTTGTCCCTGGCAGTGGCCAGTAGAAACATCTAGGAGATGTGTTAATTAACCACAGCAATGGTACAGTTAAAAAAAAGTGTGAAAAATAGTCACCTGGGTTGCTGTCATGCTGGACCAGAGAAAGTTGTGTGAGGTCAAATTTGCCAGAAAGTTGGGGCTTGAACTGTTAACTCAGGGCTTGCTGGTGGTGTGGTGAGTGGTGGTGGAGCTGCAAGATGCTGGAGAAACTGAGTTGAGGCATGCAGAGTTGCCAAGAAACAGCCCTGCACATCACAGTGGGCAGCCCTGCCCTGGGGCTGGGATGCCCTGGGGCTGGGGCAGCAGGCTGCTGGGGACAGCAGAAATTGAACTTCATACTTAGCAGCATAAAGAAGTTTGGGGCTTTTTTTTTTTTTTTTTTTTTTTTAAAAGCCCTTTCCTAATCTGATATAATTTGTTTTAAAAATGTTTATTCCTCCTCTCATTCAGAGGAATTTGTTGCTGCTTGGCCTTAATTCCCTTTCCTGCTTCCCTGCACTGAAAAAGCAGATATTTTAAGATATTTAGACATGCAAAAAACCACATTACTTCTTTTTTTTATTATTTTTTTGAGAGCAGAACACAGATATTTTAGGCAAGTATCTAAATTATCTAATATTAACTCAGATAAGCATTTTGGACTTTGATAGACAATTCATGCAGCAGGTCAGTCCCCATTTCTGTTTTGCTCTCCCCCAGAACATTCCACAGCCTTCAATCCTCTAGCCAGCAATGAAGATGTGGGTGAGGTGAAATACCCTCCCAATGGATTAGGGTCACATGGATGCTGCCAGCTCATCTCCTTAGTGTTACAGACATTGTGGGGGATTGAAGACCAGTGTGTCAGGAAAGGAGCATCAGAACGGGTTTCTTTCTGTGCTGGAGGAGCACACCATCAAAGATGATTGGAGGCTTGGACTGTGGCAATTGGACTTTCCAGGGAACAAGAAGCCCTGTCCCATAAAGGCTTGGTGCTAACCAGTGGCCACAGTAGTGGGAAATCCTTTGAAATGTGAGACGGCCACTCTGGAACAGTCTGATCTGCTCTAAGACAGGCACACCTGCTGTTGGCCAAGGTAGTAGCATAAAACCCAGGGAGCACAAACATGACTTACTGCTAAACTCCTCCTTCACCTCTATCCCAACATTCCCTCAAGTCCACAGCTCCAGGAGGACCCCAGCCCAGCCCCCAAGCCCCTGTGAGACTCTAGTGTGCTTTTCTGCCTGGCCAGAATCACTTGGGAATAGTGGATTCCTTTCCGTGTCTGACCTCATGCACACAAGGGTGTCACAAGAGTGGGAAGTGCATTTGGTTGCCCTTCCTGTGGGCTATCCGACCAAAACGTGGTCTTAGGGAAATGTGATCCTGTTAGGAAAGTGTCACAAACCTGTCTGAGGATCAACACCAGTGATGCTATCAAAGTGAATGAGAGAACAGCAGACAAGAGAGGGCAGGGAGGATGACCTCTCCACATGAGCACCTTTGATGCAACAGCTGTGGTAACCACAGAAAGGATGAGGTTTTCAACTGATTTTCAGTCACGTTAGGAAATCCTGATTCCTGAAGCCAAAGAGCTGAGTCTTGTTTTCCAGAGTTATTTTTTATGGCAGCTCCTTTCCCACAAACTGCTGCCTGTTTTGGTGAAGTCCTTTAGTCATTCCCAGCACAGCTCGATGCAGGACCTGGGATGTGGAGAAGCATGTAAGAGTGCCACATCTGGCACAGCTGGTGGGGAAGGCTGCTGCTTCCCCCTTTCCTCCCCAACTTCCCTTCTCACCCATTAACTGCTGCTTTACAAAACTACTTGCAGAGGCTGCAGGAAGGGATAACTTTGTAGCTGCAGTATAAAAGATTTTTGCTATCCCCACTAGACAACACAATAATAGATCTGGGGCTTTGTTGTGGGCCCTACTGTGATTAAGGCTGGAGGAGTCAATGTCATGTCACCACCTTCTGCTGTTCCCCTTCTCTGTAGCAGCTGAGAAGACCCTTCCAGCAGCCCATAAACTGGTCAGGATGGCGGGGTGGAATTGGAAAATAGAAAAATTGCTGCAATATGAAAGGAGATTTGCAACAGAACGAGTTTTTTAATCACAGAGATTTGTTTGCAGGTAAATGTTAGCTTAAAATTCATTAAATTATGACTGTCCAACTCATGGCAAAATTTGATACTAAGCCCTGGTTGCAAATAGTTGCGACATTTCTGGCATAAAGGCCCCATTTCCCCATCCCCCTCTGCATGAAGGCTTGGGTTTGCACTGACTGCAATGATGTGGCAATTTTTAAATGGGATCTCAACTACCGGGTGATTTCAAAATGAGATTTTACCAGAGGTTTTTGGCTCCATGTGTGTAGAAAAGCACTAGCCTCTTTGCACTGTATTGCAGGTGCTTGGGGAATAAATGTGAGGATATAGCTTTTTATATGATGGGAGCACAAACCACCTCTGCACACTCTGATTCTCCTGCAGTCTTGTTCTACTTTAAACTTCAGAGGAACCTCTTTGCTCTCCTTTTCTCATACTGGGAAGGAGAAACAGTCTTCTGTGCTTTGTTAGTAAGCAAGATGGTATCTTCCAAGGTGGTGATTTTCTACAGGACTTGAGATGCAAAACTGGGATTAACTGTTGTAGCTGTTAAATAACAAGCACTACCTGGGGCCTGTTCCTGAAAAAAAGCAGCTTCTCTTCTCCTTTCCCTGCATCTGGGATCAGAGCTGGTCTTCTCCTGTCTGTGGCTCTTCCTCCTAACCAGCACTTTTGCAATGCCAACTGCAGCATTGCCTGGGGCCCCAGGAGGCCAATCCTGTCTTGGTGTGCTCAAAACCAGCACATGCACTTCTCGTTTCTGCAGGAGCATGAAGAGTGACCCAACATCTCCCAAGTAGCCTTGTCAGCAGGATCGTAGAGGTCCTTCCAGTGGCACACCAAGTGTTTTCCAGGGTGTGTTTGTTTCTGTCACTCCCACTAGTGGTGTGAGTAGGGACAAATTAGGCAGGGTCCAGTGTGTCTTCTCTGAAGGCAATGCTTACAGGCAGGCTGAAGTCCTGGAGATTGTAGTGGGACTTAAATACAAGGTGAAGGTGTGCTTGGGTACTTCCTGAAACCGCACCTGAAGGGTACAGGTAGTTTCCTTTTGTTTTCTGATTCAGTGGAGCTGGGTCAAGTTTGTAGCCACTCATGGGGGGCTTCTGGGAGTGTTTTCAAAAAGCAGTGATTTGGCTGCCAAAACGCTGTGAATAATCTGCAGTCCTCCTTGCTCTTGCTCTTGATTCTGCCAGGCATAATCACTTTAAAGTAAGCACTGAGATTTTCCCAGTCTCTGAAATCTATGGAAAACAAACAAACAAAAAACGAACAAAAAGGGGAAAAGAAACCTTCCTTGACTCTTTCCTAGCATTTCTGTTCTCACCATACAATGACCACTCCCCCCAGTGAGAGCCTGCTGTCCTTTGTCTGACATGCCTCACAGACAGTAGCACTCATGGCTTTTGTAATTTATCACTGCCCTGATGATGAACACAACATTTTTCCTGCTACTTTCCATGGCAGTGTTAGCTGGAGCTGCTGTATCCAGCAGTGTCTGCTGTGGTACCTGAGGCCACTAAGTTGGTCGCTGTCTCCTTGTCACATCCAACCATCCAAGAATGGTGAGGTTTTCATTGCAAGGGGCAGATGCTACCAGCTGGGGGGCAGCAGGCCTGTCCTGGGGCTGGCACTGTTGCTGATCCAACTTTTTTTAAAGCTCAAACTGCTTCCAGGTGTTTTTCAAGAGTTTATTTTGGGAAGTAGTCCTGCCTGGCAGTGGTTTCAAGTACTATAGGTGAGAGAGGAGGGATGACTTAGATAATTTGACCACAATGTTGGAAGGTTGATAAGTTGGTGGGTTGCACATCTGAGTGACAGGAGTACAAAGGATTGGTGTGGGCCCTTGGCAGAATGTTGGGTTTGCAGTTCTGTTATGAAATGGACTGAAGTACTTAAAGTTTGTTTTAAAAAAGAACCAAACAAAAAGTAAACAAGAAAACAGTCAATGGCTCAATGTCAAAGTGGAGATGACTGGTGCATGGTGTTGCTCAGGAGCTGGTATTTGGACCGACACTGTTTGACGTCTTTGTTGGTGACATGGACGGTGGGACTGAGTTCACCCTCACTAAGGTTGCAGATGATGCCGAGTTGTGTGATGCAGTTGACATTCTGGAGGGAAGAGGTGCCACCCAGAGGGACCTGAACAGGCTTGAAAGGTGGGCTTGTGCAAACATCATGAAGGTCAACAAGGCCAAGTGCAAGGTCCTGCACATGGGTGGGGGCAATCCCAGGGACAGATACAGGCTGGGCAGAGAACACTCTGAGAACAGGCCTGTGGAGAAGGACTTGGGGGTGTTGATTGATGAGAAGTTCAACGTGACCTGGCACTGTGTGCTTGCAGCCCAGAAAACCAGCCATATTCTTGGCTGCATCAAAAGAAGCATGACAAGCAGGTCAAGGGAGGTGATTCTCCCCCTCTACTCTGCTCTTGTGAGACGCTCCCCTGC